ATCCTCTCCGGTTACTCTGGTATGAATAACTCTGAATCACTTTATGGTAAATAACACACTATGTGTAAAAAAAACTGTGAAAAAATTACAGACGACAAGTTTGTAGTTCAACATACAAGTGACGACCTTTGACCTTCATCAGGTTTTATTTAATTGTGTTAGAGAAAATCTCATATGCTCTTCACGCAGCTGAGTACATCAAGTGTTTAAAATGGAAGCCGTGCAGGTCTGAGATCAGCAGCTTTGTGAAACACCAAACTGAGGTGCTGTTAATGCTGATATATAGTGACACAGTTACATGAGTGATTAATCCTTTTGTTTTTTGTCTTTAACTTTATCAATAAAACAGCTGCAGCTTTCACTACAGCACGTGTGGTACTTTAACCTTTGCACTGTTTTCATCAGTTCATTTTGCAGTTAACATGTGAACATGTTGGATGATCTGTCTGCTGTCACTCGATGGGGCTGAGGTCTGAATCTGAGGGCAGCTCCTGTAATCACAAAGACAACAGAACCATCAAACTCAGATATAAATTTTATCCCTCAATATTGAAATAAAGCTGATTCTTCTGTCCTCACACACTCAGGATCTGAAGTTTTCCTCTTACATTTTTTTCAGTATTACAGTACACTACAGTACTTTAATCCATAGTTCCTGATTAATGAGGAGTTACTGAAGTACAAGCTTTTAAAAAAATTGTTACTGTCTTTACAGATGTGGCAAGAGACTGAAAACATGCTGTTGTTTGCACATATTTAATATTCAGCTCTGCACAGGAGCTGAAGCAGGGTGCAGCCTGTTGCTTTTACAGTATAATACTTGTAATAAAAGTACAGTAACAGTAATTAGTGACTGAGCAGCCCGGAGCGTTTCTCTTGATTTCTTTAGTAAATTCATTCCCCTGCACAGCTAAACGAACCCTGAGAGCCGAGTGCTCATTTTAGCTAGCTAGGTCTCAGGAGCTAGCTAAGGACGGTAGTTACGGATTAGCTTACAAACACGTTTAACTTACCGAAAAAGTGCAGCGGGGCCTAGAGCAGTGTTGCCAACTTAGCGACTTTGTTGCTATATTTAGCGAGTTTTCAGACCCCTTAGCGACTTTTTCTTTAAAAAAAAAGTCGCTAAAAAAAGACGTGAAAGCGCGTATCGCTTTTACTCTCAACAAGCAGCGGGTGCTGTAACGCTTCTTTTACTCGTTTACTCTTATGCTGTTTTGTGGTTCACAAGGTTTAAAACTACTTATAAACACACACACACACAAAGTAACTCCACCAGAGCGCCTATTTCGGGTCACTTGCCGGTCCAAGCCCGGGTAAAGGAGCAGGGTTGGAATTGTGACATTAAAAAAAACAATAATTGCTAAAAGAAATTTTGTAGTTCTAAATTAAACTCTAAATGCATTTAGGACGTTTTTTACTCACTTTATGTCTCTTCCACGATGTTATTTCTCTCTCCAACAACATAGGTTACAATTAAATTAGCATGACCAATTATGCAAATTAGGCGATGACATCATTTAGCAACTTTTAGGACAACCAATAGCGATTTTCCTTACTGAGGAGTTGGCAACACTGGAGAGAGGGCGAGAGAAAGAAAAAGAAAACCACGGCTCGCGATAAGGAGCCGGCTCGCGTCGTCCACATCAAAGACCCGGCTCTAAGAGCTCTCTTTCGTTCGCGACCGACCCATCACTACTGAGAAATACACCTAGTCAAATTTCTCACGATCAAAAAGTGGGTAAGTGTACGTGCGTGTTGCTGTAGTTATTATTGTTGTTGGTGGTGAATGGGGTAAGATTGTTAATGATATATTTAATCACAAGTGTTTGGGTGTCTATTTTGCTGACTTGTTAATTTCAGTTGTCAGACCACATCCTTTCAGCTCTCTATATAAAGCTGAGCGTCACAGTTTCAGTGCATACAGCATCTATGAGAGACGAAATGCAAAATGTTCTGCCTGAGTAATTTCAGTGTTTTAATTCCATGCATGCTCCTCTTGATCATCCAGCCAGGTGATTAATGATTTGTATTGAACTTTAATTTACTTGTAGATAATTTTCTCATGCATTTAAACAAGCAGAATGCATAGTCACATTATTGATATCTTTCAGCATTACAAAAGCAGCTGGTGAAGGATGTTTGTTACATGAATCTGTTTTCAGCTTCATCATCTGCTGACTTTATGTGATGGATATTTCCTTTTTTTCTAGGTCATGGGTCCAAAATTATTGAAGGGAAAGAAGTCAAGCCACACTCGTTGCCTTTCATGGCCCATGTGGAAAGCAAAAAATCTTTCTGTGGAGGGACGTTAATCCATCCACAATGGGTCCTGACAGCTGCCCACTGCACCAAGTAGGAACATGAGGACTTACACACACACACACACACACACACACACACACACACACACACACACACACACACACACACACACACAAAGAAGTATATGGTTCTATATATACATATCACAAATTCTTTATTTTCTTACCATAGATAGAAATATAGCAATCAAATCGGCATCAAACATACTGTATGTGATTTTTATAGACAGGCCTGTAAGCCTGTAAGACACAAGTAGATTTGTCTGCATTGTCTGCAAATATTGATGTTGGTCATAATTCAAGAAATGAGAAAAGATTAAATGTTTATTTAAAACAGAATAATCATGTTACAAACAAGAAATGTGTGGTAAACACTGTCACTGAAAGAGAAATTGCACTCTGAAATTTTCATAACTGCAACATTAATATTGTTAAAATTCAGCTGGAGGAAAACTCCATGCAGTCTCTATAATAGCCATAAACCAAATATATATAATAACACACATTTACTATGATATTTTGATAATTGTTTTATTTAAAAAGGTTAATCTGACCTATTAACCTTTTATATAATTGAAATTTCACTAATATTTTTTTTCTTCCACAGTATGAGTAAGGTGACCCTGGGAGCACACTCAATCAGGAAAAAAGAAAAAGATTCTAAGCAGGTCCAAACGGTTGATAAACGTTTTCCTCATCCTAACTATTACAAGGCAATCAAGGGCAATGACCTCATGTTGCTCAAGGTAAAGTGATAATTCATTGTCCAATAGCAAGTGAAAGAGAGATGCAATAATGTGAACAAGTTTGTTTGCAATCTTATATGATTTATTTCTGTGCATGTATGGACATATTTCAATAAATCACTGTGCCTGTTTTGGATTTTCCAAGCAAATACAAATAAATGAGTGGTGTGTCAAGACTTTAGCACGTGCTGCATATAGAGTAAATACTAAATTCAAGGCCAGCTCTCTGTATGTAATGTAGTCATTATCAATATGGAATCTTCCTTTTTATATATATTTTTTTTTTTCAGTTGAAGAAACCAGTAAAGCAAACCAAGACAGTAAAATGTCTCAAGTTAGCCAAAACTGTCAAGGACCCTCCAGCTGGAAGCAAGTGTCTGGTTGCTGGATGGGGAAAAACTGAAAACAAGAAAACATCAGATGTTCTCCTGTCTGTCAATGTGACTGTGGTTGGTAGACGGACATGCAACTCTCGTGATTATTACAACCACAACCCAGTTATCACCAGTGACATGATATGTGCTGGTTCAAATGGTAAAAGAAAGGCTGATACCTGTCAAGTAAGTATATAGAAAGTATGTAAGGAAGTAAATATCCATCCAACTCAACACCCTTTTGACATTGTGACACCTGTAAGTTAGTCAAAGAAAGACTATTATATTTATTCTTTTGCCAGGGGGATTCAGGAGGACCACTCGTGTGCAATGGAGTGCTGGTTGGAGTCACTTCTTTCGGAGAAGGTTGTGGTGTCATTAAAAAACCTGGAGTCTACTCGTTTCTCTCAGAGAAACAACTCAAGTGGATCAAAAAAACAATGCAATCTTTAGAAATCTTATGAACCCACAGGTGTCAATCCATACAAGCTGAGCAAGAAGCAAATCTTTTCTTTGATAATAAATGTCCATGCCTTTAATGTAGACTGCTTACATGACCATTAGCCATTTTATCATTTCATATTCATATTATTTTCTGATATTTCAGTTTCTGTTAGCTTGATGAATTTTTTTGAGCATGCTCTTTTTTGTTGATTTTTCATTCCATCTATCCCTGCTTAAAACCCCTCATAGGATATTTTTTATAAACATTCTACTCTATAATAAATCTTTCATTGTTTGTAACTCTTTCCAAGTGTCATTTTGTTTTTACTCTGACACCTTCTACCATCAAAGCTTGATATTTCAGTCCTTTGGTTTTAGTGTTCAAATTAAATAACTATAATGACTAAGAAAAGACAAATAAGACAATTAATGTAATGTCAACACAGAGAATATTAACTTGCAAAACATAGAAAGAAAAAAATGTGATTAAGCTCTCACTCAGAGCAGACCACAACAGACAAATGCTAAGTCTCTATGTAGAGACTTAGACTATGACTTACTCAGTGTGCACATTTTCAGAGGACATGCCAGCACTATGTTCATAATCTCAGTATATGCCCCAACACTCTTTCAATTATCATTTCTTACCTCCAGAAATCCTGTTTCATTTTGATTCAACTGGTCCTCTTTTTACCTGAATAACACACGTAGTTTTTACTCATTATGATACATTTGACCACAGGTGTTAAATTAAAAGAAAAGAAAAGAAAAAGCATGCAATTTTGCATGCCAAACAATAGACCACTTGTAATTAACGGGGGCCGAATCCCGCGGGATACCTACCGGGCAACCAGTCTAACCGGGTCCACTCCCGCGTCCAGGAATGGGTGGCTTGCCAAAGTTGACCTTCGCGCTCTCTTTCTAGGATCAAATTGGTAACTTTAAGACCGTAACTGTGGCGTCCAACGTCTGCTGACCTATTGTAAAATTTATTATACTTCCACGGCAACACGTGAAAACGACTTTTCACAGACACTTAAAATAACTTTGCAGCAGACTTAAACATCAACCTGCAGTTCTTAGCAAAAATCTCTTGTTATAATGTTTCAACACCACTGAGCCAATTTAACAGTGAAGATCATCAACTCAGCGAACAGATAATTTAGAATTCATCCAATCTGCACATTTTGATTTAACAGGCTGTGCTTACCTTTGTATTATCAAGCCGGCTCTCCGTTCGCTTCATTTTACGATTTCACCTTAAGCTGAATTTGTCTTCTCAGCCGTAAAAGAATCCCGGGTTTTCAGCACCAACTATTAAATTTGGTTCTTGTCATTCTTTTACTGAATAGAGAGAACATGACTCAGTCAGTCAAAATATTTATAATTTTATTTAATCATCTTCCGGAAGAGAGAGACCTGCACAGCCCAAAAAGCCAGTTGCAAAATCTCTAGCATTAGAAATCAAAATGTGTATCATATAGGTGTTAATTTGGTCCTTTCCACGTCACACATAGTTTTGATAAAAACAACTCCTTCTGTGTTACTAGTTTCGCTCTTTCTGTCTGGTTTCCTGTATTTTATTAATATGCCTCTGCAGCTCTGCACTAAACTTCCTGTTTTTTAAACTTCTACTAACGTAAGCTTCTGTTGCTAAGACGACCTATCACCCTCTGACCTAGTTCTCTCTCACAGCTGGCCTTGCTTTATAGAGGCGTTTATTATTAAACTACATAAAACAATATAATCAGAAAATAAGCACCAAGAATATATATTTATTCCGTAACAGGGGTCAGTTCCTTCATCATAATTATGCAAATTCTCATGACCCTTGATCAACAACCACTGATCAAAGCCCAATGGTCAATAAAAAGGTTCCTTTAGATGCATTTGTTGGTCACATATGTATAGGCTGACCACATTTATTAATCAGGTGTAAAAACCGTGAATAATAATTTAATATATGAAAACAGCGTGAATGATAAATGTGCACAGCCTGTCGCGGTGGGGAACGCTGGGGTGTTTATTCAGTGGGCCCAAAAGCAGACACGGGATATACAGCAGACACAGGCTGACGTTCAAAAACAAAAAAGACAAGGCAAGGTGGAACGAGGGTGAAACTAATGTGACCAAGTGGTCGGCAGGGTTGGATAAAAAAAAAAAACCTAATAAACACGACAACACCACCTAATGGAATTTCACCCCCAGGAAATATATATGTAAGAAAAATAGATAAAAGAGGCCGCAGATTCAAGGATGCACACCGAGGCAGGTTGGCTCCAATATTAATACAGTTTTATTTAGTTAACATAAATAAAATATTAGAAAACAAAATGTAGCGTCATTGTTGACAGTGTCCTAAAGTTAAAATAAAACAATCATGGAACTTGGACTTACCAGCAGCCGTGGACCCAAAAGAAAATCACTCAAAAAGAAAATCACTAGAGTCCACCCGGTGGTGTACAAAGGAAAGTGTGAAAACGACCCACCACCTGAGGTCCCAGGGCCACTGGCACGTCTTCCGTTCACTGAAATAAAATGCAGAACTACACATTAAAAGAATAAAATGACACTGAGCGTTAGGCTTGCTACATATCATAAAAACTAAAACTTCAATCTGTATTAGCTTTAATAAAATAAATCACAAATGCACGCACTAACACACACACACACCAAACTGGAAGGCTTACACCCCACAAGTCAAACTATGACTCGTCCTGGTGGCAACTGTCCAGACCTCGATCACAAGCCGGTGTTCTGGGAATCCATCCTACCTCAAAAAACATCCTACCCAATGTTTCTGCGCAGACGCGGCGCATGCGCACAACACCAATGCCGAATTAACTTCTTTTTCGCTCACCCATCCGGAATACTTCTTAAGGTTATGGTTATGTTTAGGGTTAGGGTTATGGGTAGGGTTAGGGTTAGGTTTGGTCAAAGTCACCGTTAAATTATAATACGGGTAGGACGATTTGTCAGAGTAGGTAGGATGGTTTCTCAGAACACCGGCTTAACTTTATATGGACTGACGCCACACTGCAATCAATATGCAGGTGGGTTCCCAGTTAACCCAGTTGTGTAGTCAAGAGGGGGTAGGGACAAATAAGTAAATACTTCTGCCTACTCCTTTTCAAACAAATAATGGAATGATATTTTGTAATGATTGTGAAGGCACATGTTTGAAATAAAAATGAACTGAACTGAACTGAGAGAGCGAGTGCAGGAGAGAGTAAGGGCGGTGGAATTTGATCAGAGACAGTCACACCACGTGGGCTCTGAATTTTTGTGGCCTGTTTAATCACAGTGATTCATAACATGAAACATGCAGGTAACTTGCACTCACTGTGACACTGACTCTCAGTTTCCATACTACACCACTAGATGGTGTTCTCTGCCATATGGTTTGAGCAGTGTGTGCCTTCAGTCTAGCAAACGAAACTAGAAAACTAATCATTTAAAAACATATGAACAAGTGGTTAAACTGATTGATGCTATTTTTGATCAACACTGACTATTGTGGCAACATTAATACCTTTTTCTGCAGTGCACAATAAATCAAATTTAGTCAGTATTTGGGATTTTCCACAATTAGCAAGATTTGATCAATACTACTACTTAAAGGGCAAAGTAAAAGCAAATCAAGTGCTCCTTCAATCAGCACCTTACCATGTGCCTGCAGCCACCAGTCACAGTTGTTTCCTGTATGCTGCAGTTTCCTGAAAAGGAAAACAGTCTGTAAAAAAAACAGATGTACAACAAAAAGCCAAGCAAACAAAAGCAACAGATGATCAGCATTGTTTGGATACACTCTGGCTTTAGTGCAAGTGACTAAGAAGAATTCATATGAAAATAGTGATGTAGAGTTGTGTATGCACTGCAAAACAACACAACTAATGTTCAAAATATGAATCGCACACTGGCAGTATATTGGCAGTTGGTGGGTAGCTATGGACTTCTACCTGCAGAGAGTGTCTGTTTTCCGATGGGGCTGTGCCAAAAATATGTGGTACAACTGGTCTGTAGACTACTTTTGGTCAATCAGGTAGCTGAATAGAAGAGAAAAGTTATAACAGCTGAAGTGAAACCAAGTGTTAAAAACAACAAAACGTTTCCTTGGTAGCCACTGTTTGTACTTTTCATTATGTGTTTTTTGATCTATGGTGTTTGATTCCCTCTTCTCCCATTCCTGGTAAGCTCAGCTATCCAGCCCTTCCCTAATGCATGCCACTAGTCATCCAGACCGCATTCAATCAATGCACAGGATCATTCACAACAAGCAACGCAATGTTCGGATTTTGTAGGACTGCACAGGGGCATGTTTGCATTAGTTGAATACCCCTCTCTGTATGCTGTCCATAGGCAAATCCCTCTACAAATGGAAACATAAATTAGGCATAAATCTTTCAACCACCTTACAACACACTTCAAACTGCAGAATAGTTTTTGCATGAAGACCAAGAAAAAAAGTGCAGTGGCTGTTAACACGTATCACAAATACACACTGGCCTCAATACAAACATAAACCAATTGCATAACTATTTAAACAAATATGCCAGTCCGCAAGAATTTTTCAATGTAGTAGTACAAACACCGTATGAAAAACATCACAAATAAAATGAGGGGGACCTCAGAGCTGTGGAACACTTTTCTAAGCATTTTATTCAAGTAAAATGAAATATAATACTATACAGTATAATGAAGCAGCTGAGTTACTGCATTTGGATATATTGTACATATACAATATGGAACATTTACACTACCGGTCAAAAGTTTTAGACCATCCTCACCCCATCAAACTAAACTTTTGGAATTGTTCAGTTTTCGCAAGGCTCTGGGTGAGCAACACGTTCTCACTCCCAAAGCGAAACATTTTATTCTAGGTGACAAATCGGTGGTATATTACGCTTCTGGGCACCCAATACGTCCCTATATTAGGAGATCAGAAAAATGAGGACACATGACAACCATTTGGAATGAATCGACACATGTACGTTCATTTTACTTAAATCGCTTTGGAAAACACTATCTAACATCATTAAAGTCGTGGTTAACGTTAGGGAAAAGGTTATGGTTAGGGTTAGGGCTGGAATACATGGCTGGAATGTCTATTACTCTGAGAGTGTCATTCTACTGGGTTTATCCATAACCTGGCATGTAGCATAAGAATGCACAAGGTCACACTTTGTTGTTCCTCAGGGACGCAGTGGGATGTGACAAATCATCAGTATATTATGCCTCAGGAGTGAAAATGGGCTGGGGTTACAATCTGTTCTTGAATCTGTTTATGAGCATGAATTGTCTTCCAGAGAGCAGCAGCTTTGATAGGTCATGTCTGGGTTTGCACGTTCTTTCATGATATTGGCAGCTCTGCTGGGACAGGAAAAACTGAAAAGTTCCTCCAAAAACAGCAGTGCACAGCCAAGGAGTTTCTGGTTTTCATGTCTTTTTGAAGGCCTCAGTAAGCTGATTTGCACATTCTTTCAGTACCCATCCTCTCACTCCATGCAGGAGGGGGACAGCTCTAACCGCACACCTTACATTATGCTCTAGCACTGTGAAGGTGTGGCTGTAGTTATCACAAGGA